CACCTCCCCGCGGGCGGTTCAGCCGATCCACGGCAGGAGCCCAGGCTCCCTTGCCCCGCCCCCTTGGCTGATGGCCCACTCAGACCAGGAGGCGGGACAGCCAAGCCTGGGCTCCTGCAGGGGATCAGCTGAACTGCCGAAGTGGAGGAGGAGGAGGAGAGGAAGGCGTTCCAGCTGGCGAGTGCGGCTTTGGCTGGGAAGATGAACACATGGCGACGTTGGTTCCGCGTCTACGAACCGGCACAAACCTTCAAACCAAGACGCTTGCCCATCTCCAGTCATTAATCAGTTATTGGACCCCATAAACCCTAAATAATGGTTTTTACTCACCTTACCTTTGTGCCTCCTGGCAGCCAAGGAGCGGCTTGAGCCCCATGCGTAGCTGCCTGCATTTTGAGTCGGCTTCTGAACCACCAAGCGGCGAACCACCACATTCGACTGCAACAGGTCAGCTTCCGCTGGAGAGGCTGGAAAGAGGCAAAAAGCACCCTCTGCAAGACGGGAAGGTGCCACGTGCTTCCCATCCGCGTGAGGACGCCCTGCTGCTTATTTTTAGGTACACGATTTATGCCCCACTCCGTGTGCAAAAGAAGATCTAGCAAACAGCCAGGAGAATGCTCGTGTAGTAGCCCACTTCTGATTTTTAAAAAATATAGAGAGAGTCTAATTATCATATTGTTTGGTTTTGATTTTACCTATATTTTATATACAGTGCACCCACAATTTTAAATTGTGCAACACTCTGAAACAATCGGGAAGTTTGAGTCATGGCAACCGGCGAGTCGCTTCCGTCTTGGATGAGTAGAAAGACGTTTCAGCCTAACAAGGAAGGCGGCCATTTGCCATGACTCCACTTCCAGATAACCTCGCCTGGAGGACTGAGAATCTTCACAGATACTCCGATAGGAATCAAGAAAGAAAATTATATTTTTTTAAGGGAAGGTGTCTATGCCTTTCTCCCAAACAAGCCCAGAATCTTTGGTTTCCTTTGATGTTCTGCAGTTTTCCCACACCCACACCCCAAAGATAGTGTTCCGAGAACTCTTTAGCTTTAAGGATGCATTTGTTGCCTGCTTGGTTCTCCTCCCCTCCCTGCGTTCTTTGGGGTTTCACTCTAGGGACTCTCCAGGGTGAACACCTGCCCCCCAGGTTTCCCCAGGAGGAGAGAATACCTCTGAGGTCCCTCCGGGGACGAGCCCAAGCCCCATGGCACTCGGAGTCACAACACCGGCAGACCGAGCTGGAGGGATCATCCAGATTCTCCCATCTAAGAGACAACAAAGAGGGTCAGCTGTGGATCGGAGGTGTTCCTCCGCACCATCAGCTGGGAGGAATTCACCTAGCGCCACAAGCATTTTTTAAAACAAACACGCAGCTCTTTGGAGTCCACACAGAAGCATGGTGAATATTCGTTTGAAGATAAGCAGACCCTGGGGCCATCTGGAAGGAGCCCCACATGGGTTTCCCCTTCCTGCTAGGCAAGGATAGGTTGCTGAGTCCTTCCTCTAGAAAAGAAGGTCCTACGGGCTTTACCTGTTGATGTCTCTATGGTATGAACAGGCCTTCCTGATGGGGTCAGTGAGGACGTCTGGGTCCCAGACCAGCACCTGGCAGTGAAGGTAGATCTGGAAGAGGAAGGCTTCAGTGAGGCCAGTACAGTGGTGCCTCGCTAGACGATGATAATCCGTTCCACTGAAATCGCTGTTTAGCGAAATCATTGTCTAGCGAAAAGCATTTCCCCATTGGAAAGCATTGAAACCTGTTTAATGCATTCCAATGGTGAAGAATTGTCGTTGTCTAGCGAAGATCGGCCAGAGGAAAGCCGCTTTGCGAACTGCCAATCAGCTGTTTAAATCGCTGTCTTGCGAAGCTTAGGTCCCGAAAACACCCATTTTGCGAGCGCGGAGGGAGCTGTCAAAATCGTCGTCTAGCGAAAATCAGTTTGGAAGCAGGGACCAAACATTGTCCAACAAAATTCCCCCATAGGAATCGCTGTTTTGCGAATGTTGTAGCGATCACTAAAAGCCAATGTCTAGCAAAAAAACTGTCATGCAGGGTAACTGTCTAGCGAGGCACCACTGTATTAGCACTGAACATGGAAATCACCCATGTTCTTACTTGACCGACAGTTTTGTTTTAATTATACCAAGACTAGGTAGCGCGAGGCCCTCCAGAGATGCTGATGGACTACAAATCGCATCAGCCTTCAGCAGCACAGCCAGTGGGGTTTAGGACGATGGGCGTTTGGAGGCCCATCATTTCCCCACCCTTGCTTCATCTGGGCTACCTTTGGAATTGAAAGCATTACTAAAGAAGTCCTATACTGTACGCCCACCCCAGGCAAGCCCGCAGGGGTTCACTGGACAGGGCTGCATGGAGACCCAAACCAAGTGATGCAGAGAGCACCTTATTAGAAGCAGTGCACCCAGGAGTGATAAAAGATGTCTGATTATCCTAGGGGGTCTTAGCACAAGTTTGCTTCAGGATATTTCGAAAATCCCCTTGCTTTCATTTTGCAGCTGGTCATTGGAAGGTAAGTCAGATTGTGTTGCAAGTCAGATTGGAAGCCTGCATGCCTGGAGGGGGAAATAAATTTCCTTTAATGTGCAGATTTGATGCTCAGGCGTGTAGCCTCACTGTCTTCAATCCAGAGGAGGAAGAGAACAGCCAGAGGTTGCAGGCCTTCTATGGGGCTTTTCTCCAGATTGCCGATTGGAAGCCTGCATGCCCGGAGGGGGAAATAAATTTCCCTGAATGTGCAGATTTGACGCTCAGGTGTGTAGTCTCACTGTCTTCAATCCAGACGAGGAAGAGAACAGCCAGAGGTTGCAGGCCTTCTATGGGGCTTTTCTATAGGCCAGATTGCCCTTTGTTTGTGCATGTGGCATCAAGGGAGATGCTCTGAGAGGCAGGCTGCTTTGCTTGAGCCACCTCTTACAGGAGATCAACCCAGGAAAGGCCCAGGCAAATCCGAGTTTAGTTTACTCACCTCGGAATCCACGCCCACAAATTCGAAGGCTTGCAAAGAGAGGTGGATCACGTCCGGGGATCTCCGAGGGAGGAACCGGGACTCCGCCACTCTGCTGTCCAACAGGCACCTGTCCCAAAACCCCAAAGGAAAAGGAGTGGGTTCAAACCACCAGAACTCGGGGGCAGCTCAGAGAAAACGGTTGGGAGCCTCCAAGCTTACAGACGTTCCTCGAGGGCTTCTCTGCAGAAGACCGGATCGGATCGTGAAAGTGATTCTGGTGCTTGTGAGGGCAGAAAGCAGGACTCTGTTCGTTATTTACTCGTTAGCTTTATATCCCCCACCACCATCCAGTGAGCTCAAACTGACGCCCCTTCCTCGGCTCCTCACAACGTTATCCTCACAACGTCCTGGCGAGGTGGGTCACACCGAGAGAGTGTAACTGGTGTGTTTTGGGGCCAGATCGTGAAAGTGATTCTGGTGCTTGTGAGGGCAGAAAGCAGGACTCTGTTCGTTATTTACTCGTTAGCTTTATATCCCCCACCACCATCCAGTGAGCTCAAACTGACGCCCCTTCCTCGGCTCCTCACAACGTTATCCTCACAACGTCCTGGCGAGGTGGGTCACACCGAGAGAGTGTAACTGGTGTGTTTTGGGGCCAAGCAGAGATTTGAACCCTGGTCTCTTACTCTAACCACCAGGCCAGACTCCCATCACACCGAGAGAGTGTAACTGGTGTGTTTCGGGGCCAAGCAGAGATTTGAACCTGGTCTCCTACTCTAACCACCAGGCCAGACTCCCGTAGGCTGCGGTGACATTGTGGCCATTGACCCCTTACACCTTCCCTGTTGGAACAGGATACCAGTGCGTGCAGCACGTCATCTGAACTGGGAGCGGGAAGAGAGATGGGGCTGCCAAGAGCTCCCACACTTATCCTTTCCCAAATGTCTGGGCAGATATAGCTACTCACAAAATACTTCCTTTCCCCCTCCCTCTCTGGTCGCCTACGGCTTCCTCCCTTTTTGGGTCTCCTACTCTAACCACCAGGCCAGACTCCCGTAGGCTGCGGTGACATTGTGGCCATTGACCCCTTACACCTTCCCTGTTGGAACAGGATACCAGTGCGTGCAGCACGTCATCTGAACTGGGAGCGGGAAGAGAGATGGGGCTGCCAAGAGTTCCCACACTTATCCTTTCCCAAATGTCTGAGCAGATATAGCTACTCACAAGTAATTCCTTTCCCCCTCCCTCTCTGGTTGCCTACGGCTTCCTCTGCTCCATTTTTGGCAGAGAGCAGCAAACCTGTGAGCGTGGAAGCCACTTTGAGGGGTTTCCTGTATGAGTTTAGGGTTTGTCATCTGCCTGCACTATCCCCCCCCCAATGGGTTAGGTAATGAACCCTTTTCGGGCACACTGTTACAGCTCCCCCCAAGTTTTTACTTCTCGTGGCTAGTCACAAGGGCAGGAGAAGGCTGTGTTATACTCTTGTCGGTATAAACCTCAGGCTCCTGAGCGAACCCAGTTTTCTGCCTCGCCCTCTTCTTCCTCTCGGCCTCCCTTTCTGCTGCAGGTGATCCTATGGACCTTGGAGGAAAGGTGGAAGCCACACGGGCTTAACTGATGAAGAGGACAATACCGTCCTTTCCATCACACCGTGGAGGATGGTCTTCTAGAATCCACACCCCATGTCAAACAGAGAGACAGCGTTATGTAGCAATTAGAGCAGGATTCTGCCAACTACAGCTCTCTTGATTCTGTTGGACTACATCTCCCATCGTACCTCACCACTGACTAGGCTGGAAAGGGCTGATGGAACATATGGTCCAGCATCATCCCGAGAGCTGCCCTTTATCCACCTCGCCCTGCTCCAGATAAGAAGGTCAGAATAGAACAGGGTCTCAGTCCCTACTCAGCGAGGAAGCTCACCTGGTACACTGGGGTTAGTCAGTCTGACTCCACCTGACCTCCCTCACAGGGCTGTTGTGAAAAGAACAACTTTCACCGTTTGGCAGAAGAGCAGAGTGTAATTGCGGTAAGAACATTCTGGGCACACAAAGAGAACACAACAGGGAGCACACCACCCTCTGGCCCATACGGTTACCCGTGGTTTGCAATGACGGTGTAATTGCTGGGAGATTTGTGGAGCTCCGGCGTTGGGGCAGCTACACATTCATCCACGAAAACCCGTAAAGGCCGGTGGAGAAAACTCTTCGCGGCGAACTCTATGTGGATCTGGGAGCCCAGGAAGAAGACGGTTGAGTCCGACGGAGCGCTGAAATCCTCTGCGAAGAGATGGGAGCGAATGGTTGAGAAGGCGAGACCCACTGTGCCCGGGCAGGCCTTTTCCCTGGCTTCCTGGTCTGACCCGAATCCCAGAAACACCCTGGAGTTGCTGTTCCCCTTCAACAGTCTCCAGATGTTTCACACAACAGCCCTGCCGTCGTCCCCATCCTAAGGAAACCTCCAGGCTCAGAACGAGGGTGCGTCTCAGACTAGGCTACACTCCGGAGGCTTTCTCGGAAGTAAGACCAGAGGGAGGGCTCAGCTACTCAGCTCCACTGGCGCAAAGCTGGAACAGGCTAAACGGGGGTGGCTTAAGATCACACAGAAGTCTGATGTGCTATTATCAGAGGGGTAACACACCTCGAATGAAAGCATTTGGAAATTAAGAAAACAATGGAAAATTACAATAACAGCATCTCCTTCCTTTGCCCCCTCCTCTCTCCTACTTCTGGGATGACGCTTTCGATCATTCCCCCCCCAAAAAAAAAGGAATAGCACACTGATGTTGTCCTAATAGGCTTCAAGGTACCTTTTGCTTCCTTCCTCTGCCTCAGCAGAGCAACAGAGGAAGTATTTAATTTCCCAATATTGTGAAGTGGCTAAGCTGTCTTCTTAAGCCACTTAATGACATTGGGAAATTTGAGAGCAGAAGTTGAAATTGAAAGCCACAAGCTGCTGAGATTTAGATCAGTTCCAGCCTGGAAAGGACCTGAAATAGATCAGTTCTAACTGCACCTCTATGGAGCTTGAACCTGGATCTTCCTGCGTCCACCTGGCCTGCCCTCTGAGCTGTGGCCCTTCTCCAAGGTTCCAGATTTCTCTTCTTCTCATGGGTCTTTGTCTCTGAATCGGAATTGTACAGGACAGCCTTGCAAAATGGGAAGATTTTCAAGAGGAAGAAAGTCTCCTCGCAGCCCCTTCAGCCTGAAAACTCTCCTCTATAAAGCTTGGCAGGCAAGCCACTCCACGAATCATGCCAAGAGGTGATGTGGGGGTCTACCTACCCTTCATGATTGTCCCTGAGAACATCAGCCCACTGGAAGCAGAGAGCTGGCCAGTGACCGATGCCACCGGTGCTGGAACCAAGCGCTGAGCCCTAGAAAGGCAGGACAAGAGGGTCACCCTCCAAGGAAGAACCAAAGGCCTTTCATGGATGGCCAACATTGTCCATATTTGCATTGCGTGTCCTTGAGCCCAAGGAAGCCTCTGCCTTAAGAACGTTGGGTACTTTGGCTAGAAGGAGCGTTCATCACTCATGTCGCTATGAAGTTATGAATGCTACATTTTTTCATCCTCTCTGTTGTTTCTCATTTTGCTTTGCATTTGGAACCTTTTGCTTCTGGAGTGGCCTAAACTTAAGAACATTTCTCGACGGGTGGAAACGTCAAATATAAGGCCAAAGCTTATAGCAACCTATTTTTTCCAAGAAAAAAACAAACACACAATTTCCCCCTAAAAGAACCCGTCCCACGCTTCCCGTCCCATAAACCACGGGTCCAAAGGAGAGGAGAGGCAAGGCTCAGACTGAAAAGACCAGGGGCCACATTCCTCTCGGGGGGGGGGGTCCTCAAAGCCGCTCCTCCCTTGTGAGCTAGCCAAGTTAGGAAAGCAGCATGGGCTTGTCGTCCAGCGGCCCATCAGAAAACCACGC